CTGTCTGTCTGTCTGTCTGTCTGTCTGTCTGTCTGTCTCTCTTTTTCTCTCTGAGACATTAATGGAATTGGACGGTGTCGCAATCATGGCTCACAGCTGTTTGGGCGGCCGGCTGAAGTGAGGCATCTACGAAAATGGAACCCAAAGCAATACAGCCATTTCCTATGGATTCTGGGAGCACTCCATGCGCATTCCACGAGAAACAACCAAGCCAGTTATTTGTTTGATTTGTCCACTTCAAAGTTATTTGAAGCTGGTACAGCTCTGACGGTTCTCACCCATGCATCCACAGCTGTCACGCGCCTTGCTCTATAGTGTCTCATGATAGGCTTGACACAGGTTAGCCCAATGAACCCTGTTGACGCGGCTTGGCTGCAGTCCAAAGAGATGGAACAGTGAACATGGCCCCACCCAGGCCGATCGGCCTGCTTCTTCTCCATCTCCATGCGAGGCTCCCAGGCATCGGCCCGAGGGACCGGGACCCGCCTCAGGACCTGCGGTGTTCGGTGCACTCCAGGTGGTCGGATTGAAGGAAGCTGCACCCAACTCCCACCCTTCCAAAGTCTTCCAAAGTCTCAGTGTTTTTGCTGGTGAACAGTTTCGACTGAGCAGCCCATGACCTGCAGCATCCTGCAGCCCATGACCTGCAGCCAAACACCCCGTAGTTTTCGGCGCACCTCTGGATCACTCGCAAGATGTAGTGCAAGATCTGCTCCTGCGTGTCCAGTCTTCTCCAGCACTAGTCTCCCTCCCTCTTCCTCTCGCTCCCTTGTCTTCACACCCCATCATTATACCGAGACATGCCCAAAAAACCTGTCCCCAATCCGAAGACCACCGGGTCGCCGTCCACCGGCCGAGCACCTCGGTGAAGTAGCTCCGTGCGAAGTCGCGTGCACGGGCCGCCTGGGCGGAGTCCGTGCGAAGTCTCGTGCCGACATCGGGGACGACGGAGAAACGGCAGAGAATACGGGTGTTTTGGGCGTGGGGTGGAAGAGGAGGTTGCCCAAGTATGTATGGTCATGGAGGATTTCTTGAGGGGAGGATGCTTAAAAAGTGTTGGTGTTGATGCCATTACTGCTACTACTGCTACTACCACTGCTACTGCTACCACTACCACTACTAATAATAACAACACCAACACCAACACCAACACCAACAACACCAACACCAACACCACCAACAACAACAACAACAACAACACCAACACCAACACCAACAACAACAACAACAACAACAACAACAACAAACATAGTAATCCTATTGGTATAAATATGTGTCCTTCTCTCCCTATTCTCACTCTCGCTGCAATTGCCATTGTTTCTTACCTTGGCTATCTCAATGATGTGTTCTTCATGACATCCATCTTCAGCAAGCTCATAATTTGGCTTTTGCACCATCACCCAGCATTTTCAGGTGCATCTCAGCTTGTGCAAGCTGCTCCGACCTCCGGTTTATCCCAACTGCTTGCTCTCCCAGCAGCCATTTGCCGACAAATTTCGTCATGGGCCCTCGCCCAGTGGAGCTTCTCAACCAAGTCACCTCGTTGGACGTTCGCGGGTGGTGAACGAGGGACGAAACGCTGGGGACGAGCGCAGGGACTCGGGTGGGGTTGGAAGGTCCAAGATGGCTCCGTCTCGGTACCTTCGATCGTGGAGATTCAGACGCGTCGGCGCGTGGAGATGCGGTGGAGACGCGCTGCGGAGACGTACCGTCTGTGTCTCTATTTCCGCTGTGGCGTTTAGCACCATAGAAAGTTCTGCAGGATGGTGGGGTTCCATGGCTATATAGATAATCTGTGGAACACATCAACCTAGACAAGAAGGGCTCATCATTGGCTTCGGGTCAAGACTGAAGACCCAGAATGATGAGCTTCTCAAGATCCGCAAGTGCCAGGAAAAGAGTTTTCTTTGGTTTGAAAGAATACGTAGGGATTTGACAAACAGCTGTACTTAGATTCCTTTGTATATATAATTACAAAAAAAACAGACATGAACAATTCAAATAAAAAAAACGCTTGGGAGCTTACACCCAGCATGACCCAGTGATCTTCTTTCAGAAGCAGACCTCCTACTTCATCCCAACGAGGTCATCAAGAATTCTCATCCCTTCACCTCCCGCATCCGGCATGCACCCCACTCCGGCCAAATCTGCCCCCGTGTTCTGAGTGGCTCAAGTCCTCTTTGATGGGGACGAAGTGCACCATGGGTTCCAAGGCGGTAATTCCAAAGCCCAGTAACGGGGTGATCTGCTTGAAGACCTGGGGCACTGGTGGATGCTGGTGGCTGGGAGACGAAGAAAAGGAAGCTGTTACATGGTATGGGAACAAGAAGGACTAAATGCAACTGCTTGGAGGAGATGCGCTCTCCAAGCAGCAGCTACAACACAGTATTTCTAGTGATGCCATCGGTGCGTTTGAGCATTTTGGGAATCGTGTCTTTGTATGTCGGGAGTTCTAACAGTCATGAACTTTCAAGTACTTATAAAGTGTACTTCTTTGCAACTCAACGAGACGGTCATCAACGTGTCAAACGGCCATTTGGCATAATTTGGCTATCGTTTTGCTGAATCACAAAGCTCGTATCGGGTGGACACCCGAGTCGCAACCTTGTTTCCTCCGAGGATGTTGTCCTCAAATCCTAGGGGCCCATGATGGCCCACAACTCTTGGCAAACTTGCGGATCTTGCCCGAGCGTTTGCTTGTCTTCTGCAATGCTGCAAATCATCTGGTGGATAGACCAATGACCCACTGATGCAATGCTGCAGTTCTCTCTTACTCACCAATCATTCCACTAAGAACAGCCAAGAGTCTGTCGATTTCGCTCTCCGAGTCCCGTTTCACCTGGTCCTGTTTCACTCGTCTCCGCTTGGAGAAGCATCGGCGCGTTCTCCGAGTCTCCCGCGTCCCCCCGCAGTGCCGAACCGAGCGACTAAGGATCCGGTGGAGAGCATCCAGTAGATTCGTGTGTCGTCGATGGTGGAACCATCCTCGGAGCTCGCAGCCATGGGACGTGTTCTCTCGCGACGCGCCAAAGACCCCAGAGGTCGAGCCCCAAGATATGAAGGGGCTCAGGTCGGCATTCGTAGCAGTGTCACTAACTGTGAGCTTAACTTAGTAATATCACAAAAAAGGAAAAGCTCATCTTGTGACCAAGGACCACAAAAAAGAAAAAGAATCGTCCCAGCTTTGCAGAGACTCTGTGGAGATCAAGTACTTGTAGCGCATCTGCGCGCTGGGCTGCGTGTACTGTGCCACGTAGCCTCGCTCCTCTGCCCGCGCGCGGATCCTGAGGTCAGACCGACCGGGACGGGGATGGGGGGAGGGAATAAGGGCCAGGTGGTAAGGGTCGGTCGCTCTTCTCTGCAGAGGAAAAAGCGAAAAAACCACCAAAAAATGAACATATAGGTTGTAGAGGATGTAGAATGTACATGAATGTACTACTATAGGTTAGAACTACTAAGGATCCACATAAAACTACTATAGGTTGTAGAATGTTGTAGAGGAAAAGGGTCGAAACCACGCGTGGTTTCGAAGGAGAGTATCACGGTGCATGTTAGTAGATACTATACTCTTCACCAAACATGACGGCCCTGAGGATGCGATGTTTTCATCTGGGTGGGCAGACGGATGCGCTTACGGCACAGATGTGTCACTGGAAGACACCCGGGATACCAACCATAGCAGAGATCCTGGAAGCTCTCTGGGCTGGGAGGAGTGCACCAGTCGAGTCTTAGGTCTTGTCCGCCAGGCATCGTCTCATAGGACTCAGGGATGTAAGCCAGTTTGGCGTCCACCAACTGCCTGAGCCCGCTGGGCATTCAGCAAGTCCAGCCATGAAGTGCCTTATGTCTATTTGGCTTCCAGATGAACAACTCACCATCCAACAACAACTCACCATCGCTCACCCTTCACCATCCTCCCATGTGTTTCATGCACCACCCACCTCCATGGTCTTCTCCATCGCTTCCCCCCCCCGGGATGAGCTCCAAGCAACGGATGCTGCCGGGAGAGTTCGCAAAGCCGCACCCGGTTGCAGAGCTCCAAGGTGCTCCCTCAAGCGCGAAGCACGCGCGAATTGAGGCGAGGAAGAGTCCGTGGGGCAGCGGGGGATGAACGTCCTCACAGTAGGGATCCCGAAACATGAACCAAACGAGCATAGAAAAGAAAAGAAACACCTTAGAGCCTTAGAGATCCCTATAGAGGAAGGTCGTCTTGGGGCTATGTTCCATCTACTATAAGTTCTGGGGGAATGGTCAGTCTCCCGCTTTTGTTGCCTAAATGATCATGCTGGCCAGCTTCCACTTGTAAGTGGAGGTGTAACATGCTACCGCAAGGCTACCAGGCACGGAACCAATGATGGTGGATTTTTCCCCCCCCCCCACACTCCTACCAAGCTCATCACCTCCGTTACGCCCCCAACCCAAGCCGCACGCTGGGGGCTCCGGCCGTTCGTGATGTGCCGTATGCAGCCGCATGGGGCAGGCGGCTCGGAGCCTGCGGATCCACCTGGATCGGTCGCCGTGGGATCGGCCGGAAGCGAAGGGGAGCTCTGCCGTGGCAGAAGAGATCCGACACCGGATGCGCAGTACCCATGTGTGGTATGAGGAAATAGATGTACATAGTTACATAGTCACAGCCATCTCTGGTGGTGCATGTGCTGTCTTGCTTCACCAGCATGGTGCTCTAAAGACCTTCGTAACCTTGGGTTTACACACGTCCGTTATCTGTGTTTGTATCTTTGCAGAGTATGTGATGTTGTAGTGTGTACCAACGCACGACATTCGGTGGCGACTGTTTAAAAAAAGTTGTCCAGATCGTGTGATGCCACAGCGGACATCATGGTTGGAACGGGTATGGGATATCTTTAAGGAAGGGTTCTACATGGTTCTAGAGTTCCTGCTTGGGTATCTCATACTAACATGATCATGCCTCACTGCTTGGGTGGAAGGAGAAGTCGAGATTCAATCGCCCAAGCATCGCGGCTCCCGACACAACCACGGAGGTCTGGTCGCCTCCATCCTCCAAGAGCTCCGTGAAGTTCCGCCAATGCGCGGGCCAGGTCGCGAAGCGATCGTGCCTGGAGGTGTTTTTCCGGTCGGCCTACAGAAGAATGGCGCCCAAGTCCACGGAGGGGTCAAGAATGAAGACAAACTGAAGTTGATGTATCAAAAGGAAAGTCTGTCAATTCTTGAGAGATTGCCAGTCTGCATGGTTTGCCACAACAATTGACCTCAAAGCCAAAGCCAAGCAAAAATTGGGGGCCCTATGGATGAATACTGATCCTGCTCACCTCCCGCGGCAGGTGCATCGGTTGAAGCTCCGCATGCCCCCACGCCAGAAGAGCTGGGGCTCCTGAAAAAGCAAAGATGGGTGTGTATGGAACTGGGAGAGATACCTTTTGTTTACGGGTCTTTGGGTCGTGTCCGTATTCTGATTCACGTCGGATTCGTTGCAGGGGCGTCATCGTGCCCGGCCCCACCAAATGCTTCAGGGTTCAGACACTACCAGCAGCATGAATCTGATGACTTTTTACACAAATCCCGGTGAGACCAAGCCTAAGCGTTCCAAGACCATGGAAAGAGGAGATTCCCTCTTGCATCACTCGATGCACACCTTGGAACTAGCTCCGAACGCTCCTTCTCATCCCATGGGATTGGCACCAAGTCTTGTCGGATCTGGTCCAGCAATGGGCCAATCAACCTCAGATGCGGCCCCCAGTCTTGAGTTGGATTGGATTCCGGCTCGCCATCAAGTCCAAGAAGACTCCCACCAACATCTGGGTCTCTAGTCACTGTAGTCACTCTTAGTCCGCATCAAGAAGTTCCTACACCCCACTAAGGGTCGTCAGGTTCAAGTATATATTTGTTTGTTGCTATTATAAATTGTTAATATAACCGTAGATATAATATATTGTGTGTGTAAAACCCATTGCCTTTTACTCAAACCCGAAGAACACGTTGCTCATCTCTCGAATGAGGAAGCCCAGAACCCACCGGAACAATCAGGTACCAAGACCCAACCTGCTTGAAAAGCCACACTAAACCATGGTCCGAAATTGTCTTACACAGCGATCGGCCTTGGAAGTCTTTCGCATATGAAAGAACACAAAAAACTAAAAACCCAGTAGATGAGACTGCGACCGATCATAAGTAAGTCATAAGTGCCCCGCCAAAGCAACCCTAGAACCACAGGAAAGAAGTTGGGCGGCCGGCAGCATATATTTCTCCAGCAGTGAGGGGGGCCGAAACAAAGGAACATATAACATGGGTGGAACATCCCGCAGGTGGGGAGGCCATGGCCGTCCCCCCTGTCGCAGACAGCGCAGAAACAGTTGGGGTGGAGTTTCATCACCAAGTCATGCAGAATTTTGATCAATTGGGATTCTAAAGCCTCTTCATAATGGGTGGCTTCATTAATCAAGATTCTACCTAGCCCTCTTCTAGCAGCACTCAAGTCCACGCACGATGCGTTGTAGGTGCTACACAGGGTCAAAACCGGCCCCTGATGTCCCCAAAAAATGAAACAATACGGGTGCCTCATGCAGTTGTCTAGGCTGGAGCCAAAGCCCGACTCACCGAGCGGCTCATACGAGGGCACCCTGAGCAGGTTCTGGGTGAAGACGTACCGGGCCTTCGTGAGCACCGGCATGGGCAAAGGGTCTTGATCCTGAGGACCGCAAAACACCGGTGTAGGCTGTGGGCACTCCCAGTTTCGGCACAAAACATAACTCCGATATGGAAGTGGAATGCCCTGCAGTGGTCTTTCAGGGTCATGTCCCTTGTTGGAAGAGCGGGATTGGATTGAATTTACTGCATTTTAGGGCATTCTGTAGCTTTTGGTGGATGTCACCGGTACCTGCATTTGAGCTCACACCCAAGTAAAATGCAACCGATTGGTGGCGTGTGTCCCAAAAATAGAGTCGCTGGTTTTTGGGGCCAGCTTGGCGGGCTGTTTGCTTTCAGTATATATATATATATACATGATATTAATTTTATGATTATATATCCGCCGACCCCTGCTTAGCCCTTGCCTAAGCGGGGCGGCGCCAG